GCCCGTCTGGCTGCCACGATTAGCAGATACTGCAGCAATAGATGGATACTCTGTGCTGCTGCTGCTGCTGCTGCTGCTGCTGAAGCAACAAGATGTATACTTCTCCCGCAGCACTCGATCCTGCAGCACAAACTGCAGCAGCAGCTGCAATGGATACTTAGAAGTTTCAACCTCACCATCAGACCAATGGCTCGAAACACCCTCTTCATCGCTCTCTTCTCCCTCTCCTGCTGCAGCTGCTGCTGCTGCTGCTGCTGCTGCACCTTCTGCTGCTGCTGCTGCTCCTTCTGCTGCTCCTCCTGCTGCTGCTGCTGCTGTGGCACCTTCTGGGGGTTCTTCTGAATTATACGGTGCCGTTGAAGCTCCTTTTGTTGCAGCTGTACGGGCGGCATCTGCTGCTGCTGCTGCTGCATCGTCTGCTGCTGCAGCTTCTGCTGCTGCAGCTCCTGCTGCTGCAGCTTCTGCTGCTGCAGCTCCTGCTGCTGCAGCTTCTGCTGCTGCAGCTTCTGTTGCTGCAGCTTCTGTTGCTGCAGCTTCTGTTGCTGCAGCTTCTGTTGCTGCAGCTTCTGTTGCTGCAGCTGCACCTTTGGCTGATGCTTCTGCATGCGTTGCTGCTGCAGCAGGAGTAGCAGCCTGTTCTTCCTGTGGCTGGAACCTGCGCTTCTTGTTCTGGAGCTCCTCTCCCTCGTCTACGACCATCTGGTTGTTGCTGCTGTTGCTGCTGCTGCTGCTGCTGTTGCTGCTATTGCTGCTGCTGCTGCTTCTCTCGCTGCCGCCGCCGTCTGCATCCATCACCTCCAGCTCCTTCTGCTGCTGCTGCTGTCCTTCTTCGCCGTTTTCTCTCGGCCTTTTTCTTTGTTCACCTGTGTCGACGTCATCTGCTGCTGCTGGTGCTGCTGCTGCTGCTGCTGCGGCTGCTGCTGGTGTGGCTGAGGCGTTTGCTGCTGCGGCAGTTTCTGCTGGCTCTGAGCGTTCTGTCTCCTTGGCCTTACTACCGTTTGCTTCTGCCTCATCCTCATCTCCCTTAGCAGCAGCAGCAACAGCAGCAGCAGGCGCATCGCTTTCTGCTGCTGCTGCGGTTGCTGCTGCTGTTGCTGCTGCTGCTGCTGCTGCGGTGCCTTTAGTAGTGGATATGGTGACAGCAACAATTTTGTCTACAGCCCGCAGCAGCAGCGCGCCGCCATCAGGCTGGGCCTTCACCTCAACAGGTCCTGCTGCAGCAGCAAAGTGAGAGCACCCTAAAATCTCTGCAACCTGCTGCTGTTGCTGCTGTTGCTGCTGCTGCTGCTGCTGCTGTTGCTGCTGGTGCTCCGATTTCTCCTGATGCTCCTGTTCTTGCTGCTGCCAGTCCTGCTGCAGCAACCGCAACACCCACAAGGTTCCCGTTGGAGAACACACAGCCACGAGCTCCTCAACATCCTGCTGCTGCTGCTGCCGTTGCTGCTGCTGCTGCTGCTGCTGCTGCTGCGGCTGTATTGGGAATAGCTGCAGTCTCAGCTGGTCAGGATGTCGTCGAGTGAAGCAGCAGAATGGAAAGTTGCTGCTGCGGCCAGAGAGAGACCATCTGTCGCTGCTGCTGCAGCTGGTGCTGTTGCTGCTGCAGTTACTGCTGCTGCTGCTGCTGCTGCGAGGCGGCAGCAGCTCCCCGCATCGACTCCACTGCACCTCCGTGCGGTAGCAGCAGCAAGAAGGAGGCAGCAAAGCCAGCGAAGAAAGATCAAAAAGCTGAGGCAAAGCCTGTCTGTGCTGCAGCAGCAGCTGCCGCTCGAGTTTCTGCTGCTGGCGGTGCATCCGCAGGAGCTGCTGCTGCAAATACAGCAGCAGCAGCTGTTGAGGCTGCAGCACAAATTGCAGCAGCAGCGGTGCGGTGTACGTACAGCTCTCTGTCTCAGCCCGAGGGTCAGCAGCAAAGGAGACAATTAAAGACATCCGGCCTTCACCTCTTAAGGCCTCTAAATCTGCAGCTGCTGCTGCAGCAGCAGCAGCAGCAGCAGCAGCTTCTGCTGCTGCTGAATCAGCCGTCGTTGATGCGTCGTTCGTCTGCTTGGGGTCTTCGACTGCCGCAGCAGGAGCAGCAGCAGCAGCAGCAGCAGTTGCTGCTGTTGTTGCTGCTTGTGCTGTTGCAGCAGCAGCAGCAACAGACAGCCGCCAGGCATCATCAGCCCTCCTCTCTGTCAACATAACAGCGGGGGGGAGCACCAAAGACAGCAGCTGCAGGCAGCAGATCTTCACTCTCTCGCTCTCTCCTCCTCCAGCAGCAGCAGCAGCAGCAGCTGTTGCAGTTGCTGCTGCTGTGTCTCCTGTTGGATGCTCTTTGCTACAAAACCGTCCCCTGCTGCTGTTGCGGCTGCTGCTGTTGCTGCTGC